AAATATGTATATTCTGCGGACATCGCTAAAATGTATCGCCAAATATTAATCGATCCTAGAGATAGAGACTACCAACGGATACTGTGGGTCGACCACAACTCAACTATACAGGAATATCAACTCCTTACCGTTACTTACGGCACTGCGTCAGCACCGTTTCTTGCTCTTCGAGTAATCCAACAATTGAACTGTGACGAGGGAGATTCATTTCCGTTAGCCTCTCCCATCCTAAGAGAAAACATCTACGTCGATGATGTATTATTTGGTGCAGACGATATCACACTGTTAAAGCAAGCTCGCACTCAACTTTGTAATTTGCTGAACCGTGGTGGTTTCGATCTCCGGAAATGGGCCAGTAACCACTCAGAATTGCTTTCAGATATTCAGCCTGACAATCATGGATTGGCTTACGCAAAAAATTTGGAGACTGATGACAGTCTAAAAATCCTCGGTATTGTCTGGAACCCGAAACATGACTGCTTTCAGTTTCAAATTACATTATCTGAAACTGTTCCTAACACCAAACGAGCAATTCTATCAACAATAGCAAGATTATTCGACCCGCTCGGGTGGGTCACACCTGCGATTTTAAAGGCGAAAACTCTCATGCAGCAATTATGGCGACACCGTATCGGATGGGACGACATTATTCCGGACGAAATCTTATCATCCTGGAAGTCTATCTACGAGTCATTACCCTATCTACGAAAAATTCAACTGAGTCGCTGGACAGGTTTTGAGTCCGGAACGGCAACTGTGGAATTACACGGGTTCGCGGACGCATCCACAATCGCTTACGCAGCAGTGGTGTTTTTACGCGTGACATCCTCCTCTGGGAAAATTACGGTCTCGCTCATTGCTGGGCGATCTAAAGTCGCGTCTCTTAAACCAATGACGGTTCCTCGCCTCGAACTTTCTGCTGCCGTTCTGCTAGTTCGCTTGATTGACTTTATCAAGCAGTCACTTCATTTAAGCGACATTGCGATTTATTGTTGGACAGACTCCACTGTAGTTCTCGCATGGCTCAAGAAGCACCCCTCAAATTGGAAAACTTTCGTAGCTCATAGAGTAGCCGAAATTCAGACACGATTACCAACCGGTAGTTGGCATCACGTAAACACCAGTGAAAACCCCGCAGACTGTGCTTCGCGCGGATTACTCGGCCGAGATTTGATATCCATCAACCTATGGTGGCATGGGCCGTCATGGTTGCATCTTCATTCTGATGAGTGGCCTCATCAAATTCTATCAGAGCACCACGAAACTCAGTTGGAACTGAAGGCATGTGAAGCTCATCAAAACAGTACTCGTGAAGACTGGAGTCTTGCTGCACGGTATTCATGGTGGCCAAAATTGATACGCGTCACTGCATATATATACCGATTCATAAACAAATGTCAACGGAAGCACGCGGCAGATCACAAAGATCACGTCCGGTCCCACGCCATTACAGCATTTGAGTACATGCAGTCTCGTAACTTTTGGTTGCATATGATTCAAGCAGAGGTGTTCAAGCAAGAACTTTACTTACTCAAGTCAAACAAGAGGTTATCAAGAAACAGCGCTCTGATATCATTAAATCCATTCCTAGACGCAAATGGTCTACTCCGCGTTGGCGGAAGATTGGAGCATTCTCATCTACCATTTCAATCCAAACATCCAGTTCTACTAGCTGATCATCCAATTACTACAATGCTCATTCGCTACACGCACATAGCCTCGCTGCACGCCGGTCTTCAGTCTACCCTGTCTAAAATTCGCCAAGAATTTTGGATTATAAAATCTAGGCCTTTAGTTAAATCAGTTATCTACAGGTGCGTTCGATGCACGCGAGAAAGAGCTCAGGTAGCCAATCAGTTAATGGGTCAACTCCCATCAACTCGAGTCTCAACGCCAACGAGGGCGTTTTTGCACAGCGGCATCGATTATGCCGGTCCAGTGCTCATTCGAGCCTCTGCTGGTCGAGGAATCACCTCACGAAAGGCTTACATAGCCGTTTTCATATGTTTGGCAACTCGAGCCATTCATCTCGAGTTGGTCAGCGATTATTCAACGCCAGCATTTTTGAACGCATTTCAACGATTTTGCGCCAGACGAGGCTTGCCAGCAGTTATGTATTCGGATAACGGTACAACATTCACAGGAGCCGATAAAGAGCTATCCCGCGCGTATCGGGATGCTCAACGCAATACGGATTTTCTCAATTTAATCGCAACAGATAGGATCACTTGGAGTTTCATCCCGCCTCATGCTCCTCATTTTGGAGGACTATGGGAGGCAGGAGTGAAGAGTGTCAAACACCACCTTCGTCGAATTGTAAGCTCACACGCATTGACATTTGAGGAGTTCACGACAGTGTTGTGCAAAATTGAGGCTATCCTCAACTCAAGGCCGCTTTCTCCACTCAATGATACTCCAGATGACTACGAGTTCCTGACCCCAGGTCACCTTTTGATTGGGACTGCCATTACTACGAATCCGGAACCTTCCGTTCTACAATTGAACGAAAACAGATTGTCGCGATGGCAATTACTCAGACAGATTACGGAGCGTTTTTGGAAGCAGTGGCAGTCAGATTATGTCAATACTCTTCAACAAAGATCAAAGTGGCGTCGAGAAACGCCTCCGATTCAGGTTGGCTCAATGGTTTTGATTCAAAACCCCCTTCTCCCACCGTGTAAATGGGAATTAGGGCGAGTTATTCATTGTCATCCGGGCTCTGACGGGTTAACTCGAGTCGTCTCAGTTAAAACAGCGACGTCCGAATACAAGCGACCAGTAACTAAATTGTGCCTACTACCTATCGATATTAACTTAATCGATCAACTGTCGGAACGTAAGACAGGTACTGCGGAAAACCCAACTCCATAATGCGCATGCAACGTCTCAATCGTTCGCATAATTAGGACAAGTCAAGTCCTTCGTAGTTAGTTAAGGCGGGCGGCGCTCAATATCCTTGACTACTCAAGACCACTCGCGTCGCGTTAATGTAAGTTTAGTAAGAATCTATGTCTTAATATTGTTATTCAATCATGTAAGCAACCAAATGCCTGTTATTGTTCAATATGTAATCACTGAATCTCACTCGAAAAATCATTAAGCGATTAACGTTTTATTTTTTCTTTTTTTTTCTTTATGTAACAAAAAAAAACAAACCCAAACCTGGGGTAAGTTCTTTAGTTACTGTAAGACATTTCGAAATCTTTATTTCGAGGCGGGCGGTATGTTCAGAAGTAAGTTGACCCCAGGTCAAGAACTTTATTATTTGTTCAAAGAGAATGAAGAAGTAGGTCGATAATTTGAAATTCTATAATTTTGAGTTAATCCGGCACGGGGCAGCACGCACTGAACCTACACGCCGCGCTTCAAGCGTTCGATTATCGAATCGATCGGGGATGAACTGCCTCGTCATCGAACCTGGGCATTCGCTCCTGGCACGGCTTTGCGATTAGTCACATGTGGGTTTTCCGTCGCGATTCTAATTGTTCGTAGTTCGTTTGATTAATAAAAAAAAATAATCAGATTGATATTCTGCTGTGATTCAGTGATAAGTGAGATGTGAAATACGTTCACTTTGACATTCGCTAATTAACGGTAGCAACAAGGTGCGCCGTTATATACGCGACATAAAATTTGCGCTCAAAACATTGTTAACGAAGCGGAATTCAGTGATTTGGGACCAGAATTCACGCAATGGTGAAATATCAAGGTGCCGAAGTCCGATTGTTTCCACGAACGTAATAATTGTATACATGAGGCTCGCGCGTGTTCGCTTGGCACGCGTAGATCACGTGAGTTGGAGCGCGCAGATCACGTGATCAGTCATCTGGGACTGATACCTGATGTCGTGATTGTGTTTGCGTTCCTTTTTTTCATCCCTTCGAGCCCGTGGTGCTCAACGCACTGTAACATTTATGTGATCAGTGATTCTCCATGTTAATTGAAACATTTCGGTTCGCGATTTAATATCGCATTCGCCGCAATCGGCAACGTGTACGAAATCTTAATGTGAGATTTCGAACGATTCGATACACGAGTTTTCGTGTTCATTTTCAATTGTTATGCAACAAATAGTTTTTCGGTGGTGTCCATGCAACACATGCATACATATAGTGAGACATTTCGGACTGTAACAATACGATACGTGTTTTCGCGGTAACTATTTTATTCGTTAATAGATATTTTATGTAAAGGTTTCAAATTAACGTTTAATAATTGTGACTCTTGTAATTTGTTAATAATGGATTGTTTTTGTGTAAAGCTTATAAAAATAAATTCGCATCACGCGCTTAAATCGTTCCATCCAAATCCTTAAGATACAGTCCACTTTGAATCTTCCTTTAAATTACACGCGAGCGATATCGACGTCGGATTTGTGATTGTCAGGATCCGTAGCTTCGTGCGTGAGCGTTCAACGTCAGCAATCGAGCGTGCGCGGGCGTGCGTGCGTGCGTGCGTACGTGTGTGTGGGTGTGTGTGAGAGAGAAAACGATTAAAATACACAATACTGCGGACATTGATATGTATAAAATCATATAAAAAAATGATTATTCATTATAAAAAGGACCAGTAAAGAGATTATTAAAAATATTATTAAATTATGCGCATTTTATATTATATATATATATATATATATATATAAAATGCGCATAATTTAACGATAATATTTTTTAATAATCACTTTAATAATACTTTAAGTACTTTGTTTAATATAACCTTTTCAATAATCCTTTTTTATAATAATTGAGTGCATAATTGTGTATTTTAACCGTATTTACACACACACACACACACACACACACACACACACACATGCATTACATTTAAGCTGCGTTCGGAACATCACACGAGTGCACACCGGCCGCCAAAACTCTCTTCTATGCGTTAGACCTGTTCTACAATAGAGTCGTAAGCTGTAAGACGTAAGAAATTGACCAATCACAGTCGATTTTTCTTCTATTTTAATTCGTCTGTGATTGGTCAATTTTTTATGTCTTACAGCTTACGACTCTATTGTAGAACAGGCCTAACGCATAGTATAAATTTTCAGCGGCCGGTGTGCATCCGCGTGATGTTCCCGAACGCAGCTTTACTTACCAATTGGACCTTCTGCGTGTGAAAATTGATTATTAAAATTTTCCTTTTCCTTTTCAATTTCTCTGTACGTATACTTATTCTTAGTAGCTCGGCCAATTTTTCCCGCATCATTGTCATTATGTCTCGAGCCGATCGATGGCGTCAATGGTGGATCGATGGTGTCATACCGATTATGTGTCGAATTAATTCGATTTTTCCCTTTTATTATAGGGCTGTTATGCGAATATTCATTGTCTGACCGACCATGGGCATGTATCAAGCCATCTCGAGTTTTCTCTCTTGGAGCAATAATAGTACGCGGCATATGTTCCTCAGCATCTGTTTCACATGAAGCACCGAAATCATCTCCATTCCTATCTTCATTAATAGGCGAAGCTGTAGAGAACAAAATTGTATGTATTATTTTAAATATTGTATATAAAAGTTAAATATATATATACATATATATATATATATATATATTATATGTAACTTTAATAATATTAATTATAAATATGAAATTTTATGTAATGTTGCGAATGCTCACCTTGTAAAAATGATGAATGGGAGCTCGAGTTTGTAATTTGCGATGATTGTGATTTTTCGGAAGAGCGTACATTGGATGTAGTTTTACATTGTATCCGAGATACATCTGAATCGTTGAGTCGTTGATCTGTGTCAAGATTTTAGTAATTAATTTTGATAGAATTTATATAGTCTGGATTTTATGAACTTCTCATTTCACTGTAACACTCTAAATTTTATTTCAAATTAAGATTACGATTTATCGTTAGCATTTTCCCAGATGCATCGGACCCACTCTAAATTTTATTTATTACAAAAGAAAAAATAAAAGTATCAACACGTCTTAACGGTCCAACGTTCGAAATTATACTGAATTTCGGTGATGATGTAACGTATTAGAATCGATGTAAGGTGACTTTGTGTTCGCCATAAATACTTTACCACGTGTTTTGAAAACTTTGATTCCAATACGCGACATCATCAAAGTGATTCAAGCTATAATATAAAGAAAAGTTAAAGAAATTTAAATATAATATAATTTTACATGAATCATAAAAACAATATATTATTATATATTAATAAAATAAAATATATGTATAATATATATGTGTAAATGTATGTATAAAATATATAATACAATATGTTAAATATAAGAGATATAAGAGAGTTTTACACATATATACATACATATATTTAATGAAGAAAATATATATACATTGAATGCGTGTGTGTGTATGTATATACACACACACACGCGGGCGCGCGCAATGAAAATGCTTATAACGTTACGTTTTGCAGGAGGACATGGAGCAGGTGGCAAATTTACACCAGACTCTTCTTCGCTTTCCGACGAAGAGTAAATTTTTCTCGCTCTATGTTTTCGGTAATATTTTGCTTCCTTTTCCGTGTCCATATCTGACGTGTATAAAGCTTTCTCTGCCTTCGCATAAGCCTTCTGTAAGGACGCTGAAAATATTATAAACATTAAATATTATAAATAAGTAAAATATTTATAAAAGTCAGTAAAACCCTATACTTAAATATAGTACTTACAATATTCGCCAAAAATTCTTATAACTTCTAATGCGGGCCAATCAAACTTTGGTATCTCCTGTTTCTCTACCGCTTTTCGGATTTTTATATCCGTCTTAAAATGCGAGGGATATTTGCATTCATCTTTATTTTGCAACCAAATTTTTGGTATTACTTGAATACCATCCGGGAATTCTGCGACGACAAAGCCTTGATTCGACATCTTCTTATACGCATCTACAGCCCACGGGAAGTCAGGAGGAAAAGCGCACGGCGACGAGCTTTAAGGTCGATAATCCTAATAACATTCATGCGAATTAGTATATTCATCATTATATTCGACACGGAATTCTTTACAATTATATGCGAATTGAGGACTCTATACGTTTTTTATTATACAGAAAAGTGTGTAAGTCAAATTTATCATTCTCTTTTCGAGTTTACAGCGTCAGACATTTGCGTTTCGGAGCGATTGATTGCATGTATAGTAATATTTAATCAAATTTAACATTTACAATATATATAAATAATATTTACTGTGTATGTATGTGTAACTGTCAAATAAAAATTATTAAAGATTACAGATTACTTGTTTAATTTTTTTTATAACACTCCTTGTCTAATAGTATATATTGTCCGAGTAATATAATCACAGCTGAATTATTAATTGCATGTATTGTAATATTTACCCAGTCAGAAATCATCCATCGAATTGACATATAATCGACGTCGAAATCATCACAATTACATCGAAGTACATGTAATTTCGATAATTTCGACGTTGATTATATGTCAATTCAATGGGTGATATTTGACTGGATAAATATATATATTACAATACATGATGCCGATTCGATTAATTATTTCTCGCCGGATAACGTTTAACTATATATACGTAAATATGCACACTCAAATAAAAACTATTCAATACTACAGATTATACTTGCCTTATTTTTTGCCAGCTCTCGTCTACAGTTCATCAGAGGAACGAAACAGCGAACAGCGACGGACTTTATCGCCGGCGACGACGTCCTAAACAACATTCATACATGCAAATTGGCTCTATATTCTATATTCATCTCATTATCCGCAACGAAAGAATTTATAATTACGTGCCAATTGGGAACTCTACGTTTATTACAGACGAGTGTATATGATTCATTACTCTCTTTCTGAATTAATTTTTTGGCGGTATCTCTGGTCAAATGCGCGACGGACATTTTGGCGCGCTTTTATTGCATGTATTACTATTACCGTTTAACTACGTACATACTCACTTTATTCAAATAAAAACTACTTAATATGTATTTCAGATTATACTTGCCTTATTTCTTTGATAGCTCTCCTTGTTCAATGCTAATATCTCCTGTAAAATGCTCACGGCTAATCGACGACGCGTCTTGCACGGATCGCAGACGGGAACGGAAGAGGAGACGAGCACGGCGACGGTCCGCGGCGTCTGTGAGTCCCTAACAACGCTGGTACATAGCAACGATTGTTAGTTGTAATTAATAATACAATAGTAACTAACAATCGTTGCTATGTACCAGCGTTGTTAGGGACTCGCAGACGCCGCGGACCGTGCTCGTCTCCTCTTCCGTTCCCGTCTGCGATCCGTGCAAGACGCGCCGTCGATTAGCCGTGAGCATTTTACAGGAGATATTAGCATTGAACAAGGAGAGCTATCAAAGAAATAAGGCAAGTATAATCTGAAATACATATTAAGTAGTTTTTATTTGAATAAAGTGCGTATGTACGTAGTTAAACGGTAATAATAATACATGCAATAAAAAGCGCGCCAAAATGTCCGTCGCGCATATGACCAAAGATACCGCAAAAAATTAATTCAGAAAGAGAGTAATGAATCATATACACTCGTCTGTAATAAACGTAGAGTTCCCAATTGGCACGTAATTATAAATTCTTTCGTTGCGGATAATGAGATGAATATAGAATATAGAGCCAATTGCATGTATGAATGTTGTTTAGGACGTCGTCGCCGGCGATAAAGTCCGTCGCTGTTCGCTGTTCCTTCCTCTGATGAACTGTAGACAACGAGAGCTGGCAAAAAATAAGGCAAGTATAATCTGTAGTATTGAATAGTTTTTATTGAGTGTGCATATTTACGTATATATAGTTAAACGTTATCCGGCGAGAAATAATTAATCGAATCGGCATCATATATTGTAATATATATAATCTCTAAAAACTCACATTTAAAAAAGGTAAAAAAAGGCGACCAGTTAAGGGCACGCCATTAACAAAATTATCCATTGCAAACCCATGTAGAATCCTATCCTATTGCAACCCATGTAGAATCCTATAAAAAATTAATCATTGCAAACCCATGTAGAATCCTAGGCAAAATTAACCATTGCAAACTCATGTAGAATTGTATTAAAAATGATCCATTGCAAACTTATGTAGAATCCTACATTGCAAACCCATGTACAATAGAATTGTATGAAAAATTATCGATTATAAATTCATGTACAATCGTAACAAAAGTAATGAAATAAAAAAAAATTGCGCCAAGTGAAAGTAGAAACTTGTACCAGTGGAAAATTAAAGTTGCAGACATATATAGAGTCGTATAATGAATCAGTAAAAATTTAAATTTGCAAATGTAGAATCGTACCATAAAAAAACTTATCTTTTAAAAAAAAAGATAAACAAGATGCCAAGTCCATGCGCCATGTAAAAAGAAATAAAAAAATTTTAGTTAAAAAAACTGGGCGCGCTGCTAAGTTTCAAAATTACAATGCACCTTAAAGTAACATTAATTAATTTAAACACAAAACATATTTTAACTGTAATGAGTTTAAAAGTAACAATTTAATTTTAATATTGTTAGAATATTATTTAGCAGCGCTCCCAGTTTTTTTAACTAAAATTTTTTATTTCTTTTTTACATGGCGCATGGACTTGGCATCTTGTTTATCTTTTTTTTTAAAGATAAGTTTTTTTATGGTACGATTCTACATTTGCAAATTTAAATTTTTACTGATTCATTATACGACTCTATATATGTCTGCAACTTTAATTTTCCACTGGTACAAGTTTCTACTTTCACTTGGCGCAATTTTTTTTTTATTTCATTACTTTTGTTACGATTGTACATGAATTTATAATCGATAATTTTTCATACAATTCTATTGTACATGGGTTTGCAATGTAGGATTCTACATAAGTTTGCAATGGATCATTTTTAATACAATTCTACATGAGTTTGCAATGGTTAATTTTGCCTAGGATTCTACATGGGTTTGCAATGATTAATTTTTTATAGGATTCTACATGGGTTTGCAATAGGATAGGATTCTACATGGGTTTGCAATGGATAATTTTTGTTAATGGCGTGCCCTTAACTGGTCGCCTTTTTTTACCTTTTTTTAAAGGTGAGTTTTTAGAGATTATATCATTCATTTTTGTATATTTTTATGACCGGAATAGAACAATTATTAAACATGTTTATCTAAACTTCTTTGCTTAAAATGATGTGTACAATCATATCCTAGAATCCTGATCATTCCTCCTAAAGCACCCTATTTATATAAATTTACCCATATGTGTGTGTGTGTGTGTGTGTGTACTAATGTCGAGCATTTTTTATACATTTTCTATTAAATTTAGATAAAAGTTGCAGGATTTCGAAAAAGAAAAAGTTGACACAGACTTTTTCCTAAACGGCGATTTTCAAGGTTATTTAAAGGTCACTTATATTTTCAAAATAGAATTACCTTAATTTTTCTCATATAAATCGATTCCTCGCAATATTTACTATAAAAAGTTGTAAAGGTATAATTTTTACATAATCTTACATAAACTTCGAAATATTACAAATATTTTATTTTATGAAATATTTCAGTTTATGTAAAATTATGTTAACTATCTTTTAAATTATTCACTTTTAGCCATCTTACCCTTACAACCTTTTATAGTGAATATTGCAACAAATTGGTTTATATATATAATATATATATAACATCAGTTATTATTAATTGATGTTTACATTTATTTTTAGACTTACTAGAGCTCTAATGCTCCACATTTTTTGCAAAAACTGTTTATTCTACAGATTTCAAATATGCTTTTAAATGATGATTGAATATTTCCTTTTTTTAATTATTTTTATTATTATTTTTCAATCTCAATCAACTTTTATAACTTTATGCCAGCACGATACAAATACATGTGTCTTTATTTTTTTTATTATTTTCATTATTATTTTTCAATCTCAATCAACTTCTATAACCTTATGCCAGCAGGATACAAATACATGTATGTCTTTATTATTGTATCAACTCTTGTCTTTTCCATGTAACCATGTCTTCATAGTTTGAATTATCCCTTCATCTTCTCAATCTTTCGCAGAGATTTAATTAATTAAATACACTTCACACGAAATAAAGTTTGCTGGAAGATATACAGCAAACGATAACTGTAAAAACATGATTACGTGGAAAGAACAAGAGTTGGTACAGTAAAGGCAAGTAAGTAAGTACATGTAATGTATCGTATTGGCATAACGCTATATCCGCGGAGCAGATAATGTGGCTGTAGAGGTAGTCTGCAGTGCAGCTAATGTGGACGTAGATGTTGATTGAGATAATTGTCTAATATAAAATAGAATTTAAAAATTTAGTTTAAAAAGCTGTTGCATATATAAATAAAGTTTATTTTTTCTAAATTTGGAATATGTTTAATTAATTAATTTTTTAAGTTTATGTTTAATAAATTTTTTAAGTCTGTATTCAATAATTTTATTCATTTGATAAATACATGTATGTCTTTATTTTGATATGTTTAATATAATTAGAAATTCATTATTAATTAGATATGTAAACTATAAATTCATATATAATATTTGAAAATATATGTGAATATTTAAATTTTTATCTTCTCCTTCCTCTCCTTCAATCTCTTTAATATCAATATGTGTATGTGTGTACACGCGCGCACATTTGTACGTATTTATTTAATTATTGGATAGTTGAGAGTACTTAATTGATAAAAAATTATGACAATAATAATCCTTGTTTTTTTCTTATTATTTACTCAGATTTTTTTGTCTATCTTATAAGATAAACACTTTAGAGATTGAATATTTCAAGTAAACTAATTGTAAGTAAATTTCACATTAATGCATATAGATGTTTAATCATGAATGTACTAAATAAGTACACAAGACGAACAGTGAGTGAGTGAGTGAGAATGAGAGAGTGTGTGTGTGTGTGCGTGTGTGTGTGAGAGAGAGAGAGAGAGAGAGAGAGAGAGAGAGAGAGAGTTAGCCAACATAACCCCGCACGCTGCCGATCATGAATGTACTAAATAAGTACACAAGACGAACAGTGAGTGAGTGAGTGAGAATGAGAGTGTGTGTGTGTGTCGTGTGTGTGTGAGAAAGAGAGAGAGAGAGAAGAGAGTAGCGTACGATGAGAACAATCGATAGAGAGTATTAAGCGAGATAGATACTTGCATGAGAAATGAAATGATATTTATGAGAGTAGAGTGAGTAATAGCAAGAGCAGATAAAGAGTTGATAATGGAGAAGAATAAAGAGAGACAGAGAAGTTTTAAGATAATTCGAGAAGGTCGTGACATCGTGATCGCCATAGCCAACATAACCCGCACGCTGCCGATATGGCGGAGCGCCACTATCGCCATCTGTTGTAAAACGTGCGAGATGGACAAATTACCACTACATGAATCTTGCATTGTTGTGTACGTGTGATATATGTGTGCGCATGTGTTGTATACGTGTGAATACGTGTAGCACGATACTACTATGTATGCGTGGTCGATGATGATAATGATGATAATGATGATGATAATGATGACGGGGACGTTTCTTAATAGAAATTTTTCATATTTCGACTTTGCATTTATATATCTTGCTTACAAATCACGTAGAGCAGAAATAAAGACACTTTTATTATATAATTCGAACTCAATCTATCGATTAAGTCTAGTATAAACTCGATTGCTTCAGCCATTATTGAGGATTCGAAATATTATAAAGACTCAAATGTCCGACTCGCGTTAAGATACACGGTGTCTCCGCTACGCCCTTAACTGGTCGCGAGACACTACCGTGTCTCTTGATATGGTCTTATTTCAAGTGGAGGCATTTTTGAGATTTGATAGTTATTATTATATTGTTAAACGTTTTATTTAAGAGTTTAACAAGGCTCTGTAATATAAATATAAATTTAACGTATAAGACGGGCAATAAGAGCCAAATCGCGGATGACAATGCGTTATCCTAACTAATTTTTCGTTAGAATTAAATACCGGTGCACAAGGCACCAAATTTTACTTGGACACGGCCAAGATTTTAAATATGAAATAATCTCAAGTATGAGATTATTTCATATTTAAAATCTTGGCCGTGTCCAAGTATATTTAATTCTAACGAAAAATAATTTAGTTTCGTTAGGATAACGCATTGTCATCCGCGATTTGGCTCTTATTGCCCGTCTTATACGTTAAATTTAAACGTTTTATGTTTAATATTGACAAAAAAATAAAACATCTTGTAATATATTTCTCTTCCGATATTATTTTAGCTGAATAAATTTTTGCACAAAATAATGTGAATAAATTGATTTGTATAAAAAAAAAACACTACAGTGATTTAAAGAAAATTGCAATTTATAACAATGTGCAACTACGAACATTTTTAAAATTATGAAACATGTTTACATTAATTGAATTATATTACTATATTTTGTGCATAAAATTATTAAGATAAAATTATCGAAAGTGCATGTATATGACGAAAATTTACATTATATTTTTTTATATAAGTAATATATATATCTATAGATATCAGCACCGTCTGTCTGTCTGTCTGATCGCGAAATACTTCGATATTTATGGACCGATTTTTGTGAAACAACTAACAAAATGTTGCAAATTTTTCGAAGATGAATGTTTTTTTTAAGTTTTACACTCTCACCTACGCAATCGCATATATATAAACCGATTTTTTCAAAATTGGTATCACAATTTTGCAAATTTTTCAGGGAATGTGAAAGTAGTTCGAAATAGTAATCAAACAGACAAACAGACAAACATACAGACAGACTTAAATAGTCTAAAATAAACTTAAAAATCTCATTGTCGCACACCCCCATAAATTTGCAACATTAAAGAAAATCCGAAATCTTTTACGGCAAATGTTGTATACAAAAAGGTTTTGTAAAATGAAAAATTGTATGAAAACTAATAGTAGCGGGGTCAGTGTTGAGAAAAGTGTATAAATAATGCCTATTTATTTGATTAATTTAGCATCTTTTGAATGTGCTAGGCTTAATTAAGACAACTGTTACACAAAAATGCCGCCACACACACAAATATATATGTAAATATATATACATATAACGATCTCAGAAGTTTTGTTGACCTAACACATTATATTTATCATGAAGACACGTACAGAGAATCAGTCAGTCTTTCGTGGTCGTTCGAACCACGTGGTGGTGAAGATATAATACTTTTAATAAAGTGTGTGAATATATTATATTCTTCCAACATTGCATACTTCCAAAGCATTAATTTGCTGCAGTTCATTATTAAAACAATATATAGTTTTAATCAATATAGTTTTCCAATTAACATTCTGTTTCGAAATATTCGGTAAGTCAGAAGAACTTTCATATAAAACATGTGTCTACAAATGCAAGAAAATTTAATCATACGGTAGGACGGAATTTTATAGAATTTCCAACATATGTATAGGAAAAAAGAGAATAGTTTTATTCAAAATTATTTGTAAATTTTAATCCAGAGATAATTTAAAATAATTCTATTTGTCCTCTCTTCAGCGAGTTCGCTAAATGACATGTTATCAATTCTCCTGCCTATATCGGTTAAGCTGTCCGTTGTTATATTTTGCTTGTTTTGATACTTTGTTTTTACCTGTTCATTATGATTCTTTCGCTCGTTGTGATATATATATACATATATTCGATCGCCGACTTTCGTTCTCAACTCAATTTAATATTTTAAAATAAAATTGAAATATAAAATGAATTTTATCACCGCAGTTGAAATAATCTTGAACCCACAAAAGTTTGATGTCGAATAAATAATTTTTGAAACTAAAAATACTGCAATTAACAGATAATGAATATTATAATAAATACTTTTAATTGTCCTTTTATTACTAGATTATTAAAATTCTGTTTCCAAAATTTGTCGTACTTTTTATTATTTATAAAAATATCTGTGTGTATTTTAATACTTACTTGTGATGTCAATATATTATAGGTTGTATAATCCTTGGCTAATATTTTATCACGGTTTGACAAGAAGTTTCATTTGAATAATATGTTCACAGTTTTTAATTTTAAGTACACTTGAGAAGGACTAAAACCCATGGTCGAAACGTTGGGTGGTGATTATTAAATATTTATTAGCCAGTAATGGTTGTTAAAATTAATTAACCTGTCAAATATATTAAAATTAAAAATTATTAAAATTTAATTTTTACTTATTATTAAGCTGTATTTCTCAAACGTATTAGTATTCTACTATCAGTATATATACAAAATAGAAGTCGAAATAATAATTTGGCTAATTAAAATTATGATCATTTTTATAGCATCAAACAACTGTCATCGTAAAAATTAACAATTTGACAATTGTAAAATGAATAATAGAAATAATATCAAAAACGTGCGCCAAGCGCGCTCTTGTGTCGTTTAGTGATTTGAAAAAGACATCAATACTATATTTAATTTCTCTATTTGTCTTTTGCTTACAGTGTGTTCTACAGACCTAAAATAAATTTTTTGACACGATGATATTTCTACTATTAATTAGCGGAATAATGTATATCGTTGGAACGGCTTCTAGTCCTAATCAATCGTCTTTATGCTATCAACCATCAGAATATATAAAACCAATCCATTACGATATCAAGCATATATCAAATATTGAAAAAAATTATTTCTATGGAGAATACAATATTAGCATAAGCATTCTTAACAAAACGCAAAATATATTAATCAACAACATATATTCAGAAAAATTATATTTAAAAAATATAGTTATAATTAAAAATTTAGAAAAACATCATGAGAATATTAAATATACAGTTTATAAACCGACATGTGATATTCAAGAAGACATAATTGACCTTTCTTTTAAGGATAAGTTATTACCAGGAAATTACACTTTATATATTAAATATTTTGGTTTTACTGATGAAGTCTTTAGAATTTTCGAAGTAAAAAAAAAAATTGCGTAAGTAAATAATATATTGATAAGAATATTTGTAAGTCAGCTCTCCAATTTTTTAAGAACTCCATATTCATCTCGACTAAGAGACAAATGCGATGTTATTGCGACAAATTAAGATAAGAAATTTTTGAAAACTGAGGAATTTGAATCCTATGGTTGGGATCTCAGAAATTCCCCTTGTTCCTTCTCTTTTTCTTACAGGGGATGTTTAGAGAAGGAACAAGGGGAATTTCTGAGATCCCAACCATAGGATTCAAATTCCTCAGTTTTCAAAAATTTCTTATCTTAATTTGTCGCAATAACATCGCATTTGGCTCTTAGTCGAGATGAATATGGAGTTCTTAAATAATATATGTTAATTAAAATCAATGTGCAATGTGCAATTACATGCAACCTTGTAATGAATATATATTATTTTTGTATTAAATGTTTCAAAAATTATTATATATTATGAAATTTAAATATAAAGACGATTATTCTTTATGTTTAGTACATATAATTATATATTACATTTAAACATTTTTAAATTCCAAAATTTTGATGTTTGCTAAAAATGTTTCATTAATTTATGTTCTTTGAAATGTATAGTTTCGTAGCTGCTACTCATTTGCATATAATAGGCACCCGACAAATGTCATCGTGTTGGGATGAAAAGTATTTATTCTTAGAAGCAACCTTTAACATATCTATAGGATGTAATCAATGCACGGCTTTGTCAAATATGCCATTGCGAAATACAGAAAAAAACAAGCACAATATATTATTGAAACGTTTCGATACCACATCTGCAATGTCGCCGTATCTTGCAACAATAATTGTATCCAATTACCTATTACGTGTTGATAATTATACTCAAAACATTGAAATGTGGTGCAGATACGAATCTGTATTTCACATGGAATTTGCAAAGAATGTAGCTGAAGAAATCACGTTGTTGTTCAAAGATACATGGAAACAACGTTCGAACAATATTTCGAAAGTGACTCATGTTGCAATTCCAAATTTCCCTGATAATGGCATAATAGTTTTTGGACTTGTTTTGTATAAGTGAGTACAAGTGCTTAAAATTACATTAAAAGTAAAATTATATATTAGTATGCAAAATTATAAAACTGAAAAACATGTAGGTATATCTTTTGTTTCTGTAAACGTGCAAAAGTATAAGATATTGTGAAAACAACAATTTTAAGTAGTAAAAATTAAGTTTATTCGTATTATAATTTAAAATGTTGTACTTTATTGTTCTAATATATACATACATAAAAGTAAAAATTTTTATGTTATATCGTATCTTCTAAGGTAAATTTTAAAATTGTAATAAAGCTATAAAGAAATAACATTTTTTTATTTTATAAAACTAAAGTTCTTCATCAATGATTTACGCATTAACTCAAATCATTGCTTTATACTTAAATTAAAAATTACAAAAAATATTATTTGTTCCGATTTACAATACCAATTTGTTAAATAAAATTTTATTTTGTATATAAGTTCTCAGTCTAACATTTAAATATTATTTTCAGCGAAATGGATATCGTTTACGATAAAAATTTGTGTCCTGTTTCTCACAAAATTGAAATAGCTCAATTAGTAGGACATAAAGTGACACAGCAATGGTTATATAATTTGAACAATCCGTTTCGATCGGCTTTTTGGTTCAATAAAGGTCTTACTACATTGCTTGCAACGAATTTTGTCAATGAGGTTATTCTAAATATTTTTAACGCTATCACCTTCCATTTTTTTAAAAACGATAACATACTTAGGCATTTATATAACAGAAATTTCGTATATCAAATTCTTTTTACAAAATGTATAAATTCTTTTTAACAATATATACATATGTATATAATAATAAACAATATATGCATATATAAATTTAAAGTGTAAGAACGGCAACAAGAGCCAATCGCGGAAGACAGCGCGCTATTCCAACAAAACTAAATTTTTTTCGTTAGAATTAAATATCTGTGCACAAGGCACCAAATTTTACTTGGTCATGGCCAAGATTTTAAAATATGAAATAATCTCATATTTGAGATTTAATTTCAATAACTCTTTAAATCTCCTACGGAAATAAATAAATGCAAGAGAAAAATATAAGTCCGAAAGTCGCTGAATCGGGAATCGAACCCGAGATGTAAATGCGTGTGTGGATATGTGGAATATAACTTAAAAAAACCACACAGTGGCCTTCTTAGAAAAATTTGCAAGATTTTGGTACTAATTTCGTGAAAATCGGTCCATAAATGCGCATGCGCATGGGTGAATGCGTGGGTGGAGGTGTAACACTTGAGAAAATCATCAATTGTGTTTATCTTCAAAAAATTTACAACAATTTGTTACTAATTAAAAAAAAATCGGTCCATAAATATGCGATTGCGTGGGTGGATGCGTGGATAGAGGCGTAAAACTTACAAAAAATCACCATTGTCACACTTTCTGGAAAATTTGCGAAATTTTGGTACCAATTTGATGAAAATCAGTCCACAAATGTGGAAGCAGATTGCGGTCAGACAGACAGACAGACAGACAGACAGAGAGACGGACGATACTTAAACATACAGATTTTTATAAAATCTAAAATAAAATATATTAATCAGATACTATTATATCCGATATTTATTTTACTTATTTTGATAAAGAGAACTCTGCGATATAATATATCATGAGATAATAATTTTTAAAGTATGTAATATTTGTTAATTATATTAATACAAAATTTATAATTTTATTTTTATATTTACTCATATGTGTTTTTTAAAGTAAGAAAGTGTTCCTTTTTAACATAAAAGAACCGCTAATGATATTAGTATTTCTTTCTAATGCATGTATTTTCAGAGCGGTTATATTGATATATTAATTATATGTTTTCTTTAGATCTATCGATTTAATCGAATAATGAATTTATTTGTTGTTCAAAATCAACATACTTCTTTGTATTTTGATGAATATCGTATGTGGGATTCTACTTCACAAAATGACAGATTATTGAAAATTCGCGAATCCATCAGAGGTATATAACGTAATATAATAAAATAATCCACGTAAATTTTGTACTACTAATATTATAATAATATTTGTAAAGTTATAGAAAAAGTAATTTTTATCTGAATTTTATTATACGCGCAAATACATTTAACATTAAAATGTAACGTTTGCTTTAGCGCGATGCTCTATATGATATATATGATTTGTAAAATTTGTACATTTATATTATAAATATAAATACTAATAATTCATATAAATATTTGTATTTATATATTAATAAATTGTAAATTAAAAATTTAATTTAAAACATTTATTCTTTGTTTATTATCATTTATCTGAATTGAAATTTTTAACTTATTTCTTAATACATAAATTTAATGATATAAATTAACATCGTAAGTTAATACAAGTATATTAAAATGATAATTTACAAAGATTGAAATATTAATTATGTTTTATAACAATTGGAAGGTCATTCTATTTATTCAATTAAATAATTTTTTAATTAATGATATTTATTTCAATTTCATAATATTAACTTAAATATAAATATTATTTATCTATTAATCGAATAAACATTTATTAAATTAAAAATTTTAAATTTTAAATAAATAATAACGAATTAAATGATTTAATTAAATCAAAACTGTAGTTATACATCGTGTAAAAAGCTATGGGTTAAAAACTAAATTTATTTACTAAAACTAAACTTGAAATTTTGTAATTTATTAAATCAAAATCGATTAATATAACTTTTGATATATACTTAATGAATAAGGAACTCTCGAAATAAACTATATATATAATAAAAATATATGTATTGTATTTGTTTTAACAATAAGACATCTCAATATTTTCTTTAGATTTCTATTTTTCCAGTTATCGATTTGTTTTTATACTTTGTTTTTTAATATATGGGGATTATATTATTGAAAATCGCGAATCCATCAGAGGTATATTATATAACAAATAATCCACGATTTAATATTTTGAATTTGACATTCTTACTAGAACACAACCAGCGCGCGCTACGCGCGCGCCATTTAATTTATATTTATGTATATATATATTTATATACATATATATATATAATAAATTATATAATATATATAATAATTTAAATTATAAAATTTTAATTACGCCAAGTAATGTTTTTGACATAATCCAAATTTATGACTCAACTGTGTAAGTTATACATTATTTTCATTTTTAAAAGTGCAAGTAATATTTTTTTTTATATTTTATATATTATATAAAAAAATCTTTTAAAAAGAGAAAAAGAGAGAAGTATTTTTTAATTATATATTATCTTTTTTCCTCCATTTCTATATACATTAATAATAAACTATTTTTTAAAAATTTTATTTTAAAACAATATACTAATTAAATGCTCTTTAATTCAAATAAAGTATTACACATATAAAAAGCTAATAAAAGCAGAAGTAATATTATGGTTATAAAAACTAATTTGTTTTAAAAATAAAAATAATATTAAATTTTTTATTTATTATCGATATATACAAAACAAGGATGATAACTATATATGTATATGTATATTCATATGCCAAATATTTTTTATCTACATTTTACAAAATGATATTTTATGTATAAATTTATAAATAATTTATGTCTGAGACATTTTGCTCTAAAATCAAAACTAAAAGAGTTATGTGGAGTGCACGTTTAAAATGACACATCCTGTATATATATATATATATATATATATATATATATATTTTAACTTCTTGAATTTGGTAATTTAAACAAAAATTAACGAGATATCAAATGTTTAATGTTTTCAATCTTTGAAATTCTGAAATAAAACTATAAATTAAAATAAGTAAAAAATTATTATAAAAAATAAAAATAAAATAATATTTAAAAAATGGGTTCCTCCAGCGAAGATTTGGAAACATTACAATAAGATGTTGAAAATTTATTAAGTGATGAAGATAAATCTAAAGTCGAATCAATTGACAATGAGTAAGTAAATTACGTATTTAAAGGTTAAAAAATTTCATATGAAAATTATATATTTTTCTTAAATGTAGTTAAAGCAACAAAAATTGTGTATAATTTTATTATTTATTTAGCTAGAATGCATAAATGTATTCTTGATTCGTTTTAACTACTTGAATCAATGTGGTTACACGTTCTCATGAGTAATTTTTTTATAATTTTTGACATTACTTTTTTTGCGTTCTTTAACAATTATCGTCTAACATAATTCAATTATTTATCTACGATCATAATATTAAAAATTTTTATATGTCTTTTTATTAATGATTTATTTCTCTATTCATCTCTGAATTATTATTCTTAATCGTTTCTAACTTTTATAATTTATAAATTATTTAATGTCATATAATATTAAATTTCTTTTAAATAATTTTTTCTATAATTTAATAAAAATAAAACAATAAGTTTAATCATTTTTTTACAATAATAATATCATTACAATTATAATATAACAAAACATTTATTATACGCTGTAGAATTCTTACGAAAAGTAATTATATGGAAATACAAAGGGAACCACAAAGTATACACGAGGAAATTGAACAATTGATAAGTTCAGTCGAATTATTTACGCCAAGTAATGTTTTTGACACAATTCAAATGTATGACTCAACTGTGTAAGTTATACATTATTTTCATTTTTAAAAGTGCTAGTAATATTTTTTTTTATATTTTATATATTAAATAAAAGAAATCTTTTAAAAAGAGAAAAAGAGAGAAGTATTTTTTAATTATATATTATCTTTTTTCCTCCATTTCTATATACATTAATAAATAATAAATTATTTTTAAAAAATTTTGTTTTAAAACAATATACTAATTAAATGCTTTTTAATTCAAATAAAGTATTACACACATATAAAAAGCTAATAAGAGTAGAAATAATATTACGGTTATAAAACTAATTTGTTTTAAATAATTTTTTTGTATGGACAGAGTTAATTTATAAAGATTTTATATAAAAATAAATATATATATGTAATATATAATTAAATTTTAAATATATTTATTAAACATTTAATAAACATTTTTGTATAAAATATAATTACATAAAAAAATTATTTTTTATATTTAAAATAAATAAACGTAGGAAACTAAAAAAATAAAAACAAATAAAATAATAAATAATAAAATCTGATATTTATTGAATCACTTATTTATTTGGATGGTGTTCAGGCTAGGACCACAAACGTAGCCAGTTTAATTTAATTTTGTAATTAAATTGTTGACAATAATAAAAAAGCAAGTAAATTTTTTATTATTTGATTTCTTTTATTTCTTTTTTATTTTTTTAATCTTTTGGTATATTTTTTAAGTGTATTTTATTTTTTCATAATAATATGTAATTAAGTTTAATATTTAAATATAATATTATATTAATATAATTTTTATTACAGAATACCGCAAAAAAAGACTTACAATTTAAAATAATGAGTTCTCGTTCAAGTACAAAATTCTTTATTCTTCCTTGTCTGAAGTAATCTCAATTTACCGTGCCCGGATGATGATGGATGTATCATGCGACTTGTTAGCTTAATTATCACATGAAAAATGAATAAATTTAATTAAATAGGAATTATTATATTATATAATATTATAATATAATATAATATTATACAATATAATATAATATTATATAATGTAATATATAATATAATTAAATATAAATATATAATATTCTTTACGTTCCATTAATATTTTATTTAATTAATATTACTTACATTATATTTTATTTAATTAATTGAAAAAATATAAAATTATATTATGTTCAAAATTTAGAATTTTTTCTTAATAAAATTTAAATTAGAAAAATAATTAATTATCTTTCCTTTTTTTCACACACTTTTGATATTATAGAATATATTTAATTATTTTATAATCAGTTTAAAAATTACAAATTAAATTACAAATTAAATTACTATAATCATTTTAACACATAAATTATTTTTATTATATATATATATTAAAAAACAATAAAGCTAGACATATATTTCTTTATATACATAATTTTTAACGTATCTATTATCTCGTTGATTCCCAATGTAAACTTTTAATGCTTGCCAAGAACGAACTCGTGAAAAGGCAACATAAAGTTGTCCATGATTAAATACATCTTTACGAAGATCTAATCCGATTTTTTCAAATGTCTGTCCTTGTGATTTATTAATTGTCATAGCAAAAGCTAATTTTATCGGAAATTGTCTTCTAGAAAAAGTAAAAGGATATACATTTTCACAATATAATGTTATACGATTTAAAAAAATAATATCTCCTGCTTTGTCACCTGTTAAAATCTTACATTTTAATAAATGGTCTGCAAGCTCTATAACCATTAATCTAGTGCCATTACAAAGACCTTCATTGATACTAAGATTTCTAATCAACATAATGATACAATTTGGTTTCAAACGTAATTCATGAGGAGGAAGAGATGGTGGAGATAAACTATTTAAATATTCTGGTAACAAAGCTTCACCAATGTCATCATTGTCACCATTTACAGTACAGTCTATACTTGTATAAATTCGTTCACCAGTTACACCTAATAGTTCTACAACTCTTTTATTAATTTCGTCTACATCAACATTTCTTGCAGAAAGTATCGCACATTTAGTTATTTTAACAAATTCTTGTTTTCGTATTAAATCACCATATATATCTTCCACAATATCAACATTTGTAGATACTATACAACATTTAGGAATTTCTATATTATCATTTAAATCATTTAATAATCCATCTCCCATATCTAATAGAAATTTAGAAAAATCAATTTCCTCTGGAAGAACTCGCATATTTTGTATTAAAGAGAATTTTTTAAAATATTTCCAAGTATAACTAAATTTAATAGAAAGATTTACAATTTCACTTCGAGTAGCATGTTGTTTAACAGGCAAAAGTTGTCTGAAATCACCACCTAATAAAACAATTTTTCCGCCAAAAGGAAAGTCATTATTCATAATATCACGCAATGTTCGATCCATAATTTCTAAAGCATATCGTGGTGCCATTGGTGCTTCATCCCAAAT